GCCCACTACCATGGAGCCACAGCAGGAGGGGGCCTGGCTTTGGGGGGCTGGGTTTGCCCCAGCAGGAGCTTTCCAGGGGTTCCCTGGGTTGGGGCACAGGGAGGGCGGCCTGGCTGCTGCAGGGAGTGACCTGCAGAGATGGCATCAGGGAAACACCTGGTTCGGGGCAGGGGGGGACCATCAGATTCTGGCCCCTGGCAGGCGCAGGCACCCAAACCCCCTCCCCAGGATGGGGTGAGCACAGAGCTGACCCCACGTGGGACCCCTCCTCCCAGCACCCAATTATTTACCCATTATTGGTAACTGGATTTCCCTGGCCCAAGCGAGTTTGCTGTGATCACCCGTGGGGAACAGTGGGGGCTCCAGCCCTCTGGGGGCCACAATCCCCCCACGGGCCCCACACATGAGGGGAGCAGGGCCGTGCTGGGGCCGAGCTGCAGCCTCCCCAGAGTAGTGGGGGGTTTGGCCCTCAGAGGAGGCAAAGGTGTGTGCAGCGGGCAGCCTCGCGTGGCGACAGCACCTCCAGGCTGTTCTGTGCTCAGATCAAACAACAAAAGCTAGGAAAGGAACATATTTAAACATCAACCCGAAGAAATCTGTAATTACTGAGAAAGGGGTTGGACACCAGCTCTGCCTGTACTTGCACCCAGGGCTCCCCCATGACCTGCAGCAGCGTCTCCACCCCCGGGGAGGCCGTTTTTGTCCCCTGGCCAAGGCCAGGGCCTGGCAGTGCAGCTGCAGGGGGCCCAAGGGCAGCCCAAGACCCCCAGCGACCCTCTGCTCCTTCTGCCAGAGGAAGGGGGGCTGTATGATGAATATAGTCTTTTTATTGACTACTTCTGAGTAGAACAAACTAAATACATCTGTAACAGTTTGGGTTCCTTTATACAGTACATTAAATAAGTTATGCACAGGAATGAAGTAACAAATTTCTATTACAGAATTAAATGTCAAAAAAAATAGAAACCTCAACCCAATGTCTTCCCATGTCCGAATTTCACATTTATCATTCCATGTTAAAAAAAAAAAGCAATTGTTCTAATCATGACTGTTAGTATTTCATTCATTTACACTGGGGTTAATTTTAATACACGGCCATCAAAGTTGCATGAGAATTATGGAAGACAATCTATTTACAAGCAATTCCTCCCAGCCCTGCCTTGCTTTTTCCACACCTGACCTGCAGCACGGGGTCGGGGGTGAGGTGAGGATCGGGACCTGGCAACCAGACGTTATTTACCTGAGGCTGCCCCCAACATGCCCGTGGCCCCTTGGGGCAGGAAAGCCCTTCAGCCCTCCAGGAGAGGCCTGGGATGCTACCCCTCCCCGCTGCAGCCTGGGGCCACGGGGTCACCCTCAGGGAACCCCTCGGGGTGGGGTGACACCTTCCGCAGGCTGCTGCACCCCAGTGCCACCCTCCTGGCAGCCGCCCCATGCCAGAGGCACAGCACCCAGCAGCTGGGGGAGACAGGCCCAAGGGCCAGGCGAGAGCTGACTGGACCACCAGGCGACTTTGTGGCTTTTTTGCATAATAAAACCTTGCAGACAGGGGAATCACCCACTCCAGCCCTGACAGCAGCCTCTGAAAGGGCTTTTCCTAAGGGACAGAGCTGGTTCAGCGGGTCGCTCATTTATCCCCAGCAGCCCGCTACACTGCTGCAGGCTCAGTGACGATTCATTACAGCTCCATTATTTGCCTCCAACTGAAAAAGTGATCAAAAATAATTTGGGAATTACTCGCCTCATTGGGCTCCAACCCAGCAATCACACAAAACCAGTCACGGAAACACGGCTTTGCTGAATAGATGGTTTCCTAGAGCCCGTTTGCCTGCAGCGTGGGAAAGCAGAGCAGGTCCCCGGAGGTGCCCATCCCTGCCCCAGCCGCACCTCTGATGAAGCCCCCCAAGATGAGACCCAGAACAGCCCTTCTGTGGGGCAGGTCCACAACAGGGCCTGCGCTGTCCCAGATCCCTCCTTCCGCACAGCAGCAGGGGCGCTGGGAGCGATGGATCCCCCCTGGTGGGCCAGGGCGGCCCCGCGGTACCTCCCGCTCTGCGCCCGCATTCCTGGGACGGGCTCCGAGGGCGAGAGGCAGCAGCTGCACATCCCGGGGTAGCTCTGGCAAGGGCAGCGCGGGTGGTGTGGGAGCAGAGCCCCCCAGGAGCCCCTCTGGGGCTGGGGGTAATAAGCGATGCAGGACACCACATCCTGCGTTTATTGTAATAGTTTGGCCAACGTGCGTGGAGAGAACAGACTGTAAATAACCCACTGCAATCGCGTGAGGATCTCTGTGGTTAAAAACAACGGCAGTAACTCTCAAACCAACAACTTCCATGCAGTGAAAAAAACCACTTTCTGCACAGCAAAGTAACGGTACCCAGGTGGGAAGGGCAGTAACCACCCACAACTAATCCAGGTTTGCTCTGTGCTGTCCCCAAACGTCCCACCCTGGGTAACACACAACTGTCTGACCCGTTACAGAACGGGATTAAAACCAGGCCTTCCAGAAGTGACCAGCCATAACTCCCTGGTACTGACATCTGAATGCTCTCCCCCCTTCTGCAATCATCGGCCGCCAGGAAGGCAGGAGAGGAGAGAGCTTGGCTTTTGCCATTGCAGACGATGAGATGCTCCTGCTGAGAAATGGCCTCTGGTCTGTTCACAGCAACAACAGCCAGCACAGCTCTCTGAGACACCACTCGGAAGGAAAAAAACCCCACAGATGCATATTATGGAAAAAAGGTGGCTGAAGGAGGCAGCAGCTCAGACATCTCAAGAAAGGAGCTTGAGCACATCTGACCCGTGAGGATGGGGCTCAGCATCTCCCACGTGCCCTGGCAGCTCTCTCCACCGAATCCAGGTCCCCCCCTGAGTGCCCGCCTGGCCTTCTCCTGGTACCCCCCTGCAGAGAGACGGGCACGGAGGTGTCGCGGGCAAGACCAGCCCCAGTTCTTCACAAGCCACAAAAGAAAAAAGGCAGAATGAGATGGCAAAGCCCGAGTGTCGGTGCTCTGAGGAGGCAGCACGATGTGTCCAATGTGTCAAGTGATACAAGTTGCTGTGGGGTTTTTTTTTCAGCTTTAAAAAAACCCAGGGAAACTGATCAAATGGAATGAACCAAAACTCCCCCTTTAGAGTCCGTTCGTATCTATTGCTGTCACGGATGCTGGGGTGGAGGACCGGGAGGTGGTTGCCGAGGTCTTCTCGAGGGCCGGGCTGGGCACGCCGTCCAGGCTCTTGGCGGCAGCTGCCGCTGACCGGCCCGTGGGCAGAGCCAGTGGCTTGCTCTGACCGTGCAGGCCCTGGCCGCAGATTCGGTGGTGCCTCTCCCAGTCCTTGTGCTGGCAGAAGGAGCCACAGTACCGGGCGATGTTGCAGCCACTGCACGTCTCACTGGCTTTGCGACCACAGTTCCAGCAACTCTGCAAGACCAAAGACGCCACACTTTAAAAGGGTTTAGTTTCCAAGAGCTGAAGGATGGTGCTGACTCAACAGCCCTTGAGGGGACTGTTCATCCCCCTCTGGCCTAGATTTAGTAATATTAAAATGAGCAATCCATTAATTCCCACCATTACACAGCCCTTTGCCAAGGGTACTAACCCCTACTCTTCTGCTCTGCCCAAAACGGCCTGCCAGACCGCACCAGTCACATCCTCTCCCCTAGATCCACCCAAACGCACAGAAGAAACAGCAGGCAAGGACTAAAAAACATGCTGCAGATGCTGCTATTCGGTCTTTTTATTTCCTGTTTTAAAGCAGCTCTATTGTGGTATCGCTCCCGGCCAAGTGCTCTCTGCAGGGATTACAGCGTGCTGCACAGGCACCATTTGCTTTGCACCCTGCCTAGCTGCACAAGAGGTCGGAGCAGGCTAATTTGGAAAAGAAAAAGCTCATTTGAAAGCCTCTCAGCCAGGTGGAAGCACTGCCAGAGCCCAAGCTTCAATCTGGAAGCGGAGCAAAGCCCCTCTAGCTGCTGGGAGAGGCGTCAGCTGGTGGGCTTACGGCATGCCACTGCTGCCTTAGGAGCGAGCGCGGGGGCAAGGGGCCAGCCCCGGGAGCTGTGGCTGCAGCTGCTCCGAGGAGGGGAGCCGGCAGATTAGCTTTCCTGCAGCTGGACTCGTGTGTTAGCAACCACATACTGGGGAGGGCAGGTTCAGCTGCAGAAAAGCAGCCTCTGCTGGGGCCCGCCTGGCTCTAACCGTGCCCGATGGGGCAACTCACACCGGCCACAAGAAAAAAAGTTGTCGAAGCCAGAGAGGGGGGTGGTGGGAGATGCTGGCTTGTACGAGGCAGCCCTGTTGTGAGGGAGAGCAGTGAGATTCCCTGCTCCCAGGGTCTGCACCGGAGCCACCAGCTCCTCGTGATGATTTACGGTCTGGCAGCGAAATGCCGAAGTGAGCGGGTCGGGGGGTGAGGCGCTCCGGAGTCAGCACGTCCCCGAGGCCCCTTGGTCTGCCCGGAGAAGCAGGACTCACGACCAAATAAAACCCCCACTGAAGCCTGCAGTAACTCTTGGAAAACTGGGTCACTGCTTTACAGCTGCTTGCACTTCAAGCAGTGTTTTTAAACTGTATTTCAGAAGTTACACGGCATGCCAGAATACACGACAGCTTTTCAGCACGGCCTGTAGAGAAGAGCCCTGGGGCTTGCATGGGAGCGTGCTGGCTGGGGGATGCTTGGCTGCTCCCGAGGTCCCACGCTGCTCCCCGGGACAGCTGGAGGAGGACACACTCCTCTGGTATTCCCCTACAGAGAAATCATTGCTTGTCTCACTTCTTCCATGGCTTCCTGAACAGTTCCACCCACTCCCATCATATGTTTACCGACTGGTGCATTCAACTTTCAGTGATTTAATTGGGAAATATCAGAGTTCAGACATACTTTTCTGTAACACCACCTAACATTTACATGGTTCCTTCCCAAGCCCTGGTCAGCAGGGTGAACTGAAACCCCGCAAGAGGAGGCAAACGGCCTTGCTGCCCACACAGCCCCAGTGGGCATTAACTCCATGTTCCCACCAGATTTTTGCTCAGCAGAAACAGAGGCAAAGCCTCTGCTCTTGTATTTGTGTGGAGAAAATAAAACCAGAAGCAAACCACACGTGGCTGGGCTGCAGTGATGCAGGAATTAACCATGCAATTCTCCTTGCCCAGTCCAGCTGAGATCTCCAAAGCTTAATGAAGTGAGCTTCCTGTTAATGAACAGTGAAGGTAAGTAATGACTGAGGAGCAGAAATAAATTCTCTGAGAAACCGATTCACCAGGTGTCACTGGCTGTGACCAATGTAAGAGTCTTCCCTTGTTTTCCAGTGTGCAAGTGTCTCATTAGGTGTTATGAGGCTTAGTAACTTAGGCTGATTCCCCTGAGCAAAAGGTTGTGGGTTTTTTTTAGGGTATCAATGCATCATTTTAGTTATTGATTGGAGAGAGACTTTTAAAAGCGAAAAGGGACAGGGGACCTGCAGGCTCCTGCTGGGTAAGACCTGGAGACCTTATGAGTCTTGGGAAGTCCCTTCCCAGGATGTCCCCCCTGGCACCTTACCTCTGTGGACTCTTCCTGCTCGTTTATCACCAAGAAAGCATCCTCGGTGGCCTGGCGCTTGGCGTCTGCGATGGTCTGCTCCATCCGAGCTCTCTCAGAGGCAATCATCTCAAAAGCCTTCTGCTCGGCCTCTGCCACCGCTTTCTGCACCTCCGACATGGCCTGGCGCTTCACCTCATTCACGGCTTCTTCTGGAAAAAAAATGCAGCTTCATCCACCCACCCCAGGAGTGGAATGAGCCTCAGAGAGATGAGAGATGTCGGGATGTGGCAGCATGTTGGCTGCAGCTGGGACGCCCAGGGCAGCAGGGATGAAGGGACATGGTCAGCACCAGCATCACGACTGCTCCTGGGAGCCGAGGGGCCACGCTTAGCCCCACGGGATCCCCACTGGCAGCATACAGAAGGAGCAAAGCACTTTGGAAAACCCAGGCTGGGGGCATTGCAGCCAGATGTGCACATCCTGGGGCCTTCCTGCAGCTGGGCTTCTCCAGTTCCTGCAGAGCAAATCTAGAGCATCTGTGTTTACCTCAACCGATCCGGCAGAATCCCTCACCGAGGTTACTAGCAAACACTTACCAGCTTTTTTCCATATCTCTTCGGTGACGTAGCCTGTGCCCGACCTGCCGCTGAACTCCCGCAATGAATCTGTTGGATAAGGGACACAGGGTGAGGTTGGCAAAGCCTCACCTTCCCCCACTGCTGCTTGAGCAAGTGCTTGGCAGTACCTTGGTACATCATGAGGCAGGGTAGAATTAACCAGCTAAAACTCAAAGCAGAAGATTCCTACAGTGAAAGCCATGCATCAAACACTCAGATTATAGACTACAACATTTAATTAGCACCTTGCATAATTTATGACACTATATAACCCATTTCCATCTTCTGGTACTCTATAACAACAGGCAATGCCTATAAATATATGTGCCATCAAACATCTGAGCTGCCCAGCGACTTCATGCATTGATCTATATGTCCAGAAATTTATATTAGGGGCAGCACTTTCCAATCCCAAGGGCAGTTCAAAGGCTTGAACTGACTCTGTCCTGCCAGAGCTCTTGGGGCGAGAGGTGTGTACGCAGCACCCATGACCCTGGGAAGAGCCTGTGTGACAGATGGGGACGGTCACATGGGGACGTAACACAGGCTGCAGTCACACAGGGAAGCTTCTCAGGAGCCTCGTCCTGTGTTCTATCTGCATCCCCCTTTTTAAGGCTTCAGAGTTACTTTCTGAAGGGTCAAAACAAAAAATAATTCATGTCAAAGGCTGGTGGGAGAACCAAAGCACTCCAGGAGGGCGGTGAGGTTAAGCCTGTGGTACACCTGAGGATGCATCTTGATCTTTAACTGCACCTTCTTGCAACAGCAACAGAGCTTGAAAATTAGCCCTAGGTCCCATGAGGGGGGAAAGCATCAACAATGCTCCCAACTTATAAAAAAAAATTAAATTATATCACCTTTAACAACATGGAGCTGTTAGTCACAATGTACTTAAATGTAGAAGGGCTAAAACCAGGCTGTGCTGCTCAGGCCATCGCGCGCGCGCAGCCACCCCACGGCCTCGCTCCATGCTGCTCTGCAGTCACAGCTGGAGCCACGGGTGCTTGGTTTCCGAGAAACTCCGATTAATATCTTCTATTTTAGTTCCTTTTGCTTGTGTACTTGTTATTGTTTTCCCAGGAAATACTGGTTCTTGCTGTCTGGAAACTATCAAAACTTGTTCAATTGCAGCTAAATCTGGGCTGGGCTCTAATTCAGATGGTTCTTTTTGACATGCAGGAGGATTCATTCTTTATTTTGTATACAAATAAGTTGAATGTATGTAAAATTGAGAGTTTTACTTTGACATTTATTAGTATTGCTAGAAAACATCCATCCTCATTACTGAATGATCAGCTGCTTTTTTCAGCATTTGATTTGCAGCAAATTTATTTGGATGGAAATTAGAGTTCTATTCAAATGCATAATATTGGCATTTCAGACTTGTTTTTTGTAAAGGGTCAAAACCTCCGCATACTGGATGGGAAAAATACTCAGCTTTAATAAAGTTAAGTTGACTCATGATACAAAAATAGAATTAATAACTCAGGTAGTAGCTCTTACAGCAGTCTTTGGTATTTTTAGAATTAGTAGACCTTGACATTTAAAATCCTTTAGGCAAGACAAAATGGAAAGGGAAGAGGGGTGGAACCAACCACCTCCCGCCTTTTCGTCCCCTGTTTCTCAGCTTGGAATGATCTTGGCTCGGGTTGCTCAGCTCGGTGACAAGGGAGATGCTCTCCTGGCACCAGCAGAAGGTGCTGCTGCTGCCCAAAGGTGCCTTCAGACCTCAGCAAATGCTGCTTCCAGGAGCTCACCCAGCTCCTGTCCAATGAGTTGTCTCTCTTCAAAGCTTTGAGAACAGCTATGCGCTGCTTAGGTATTTAATTTATATTATAATTTGAATGTATTATCATCACTTTATGCCTAATATAGCTGTGGTGTAATTAGACACCCACTTAAAAAGGTCGTGGCTCAGCACGCCCACCCTCGCTTACCGCTGCCGATGGAGTCGGAGCTGCTGGGGCTGTGCTGCCTGGAGACGAGCTCGCTGCCCGCCTTCCGCGGCTCGGCCGTCTCGCTGCACCGCCTCTTCCAGTAGTTGAGCTCTTCCCGATCGGCCTCCTGGCAGCGCCGCAGCACAGCCATCGAGCGCCGGGTCTTCTCCACCATCTCCATGATGCAGTTCAGGGCCTGCAGGGAGGAAGGGGTTCTCAGTCTTGCTCACGAGGTCGCCTCCCAAGCTGCTCGTTGAAGGCACCATGGAGGGACCATCGCAGGAAGATGAAACACAAGGTCATGTCCCAGCAACAGGCTCTGAGGATGAGGCAGTGTTCGAGCAGGTGGGTAAGATCTGGGGGCCGTACCATGCACAGCAGCGATGCCGAGCAGGGATGCAGCGCCCGGTGGGAAGGAGCTGTTCACACCCACCCCGTGAGGCCTTGGCCACCACAGGAGGTGGCTAAACTCCTTCAGGCCACGCTCCTGAAGGTGGAGGGGAAAAAACCACCACTTACTTATGGGAATAAGGTGCCCATGCAAGGGTTGGCTGCGGTCCTGGTGCCAACTCTCCATAGTCACATCCCAACTTGCAAATATTCAGCTATGGGGCCTCTACTCCGCCCCACACCCCCCACAAAAATCCATCAGCTTTAGAGAATAAGCAAGCGTGAGATCTCTCTGCTTTTACGATCAAAGCTGAATTTCAATCGCACCTCTCTAGGGGAAACACTCCAACGAAGTGCTTGGATGAGCAGCCTTGTTCAGAGAGAAAAAGCTGATTGCGGAAAGTCTGCCAGAAGTACCAAGTCTTGCGGTTTGTGTGCCTAGTGAGGCCCACAAAAGGCTGGCACCTCAGGAAAAAAAGTCTTTAAAAAAATAAAAATGTGTTTACTTATTCTGTAAGCTCCATATCTTACTGCACACAGCACATCTACACACTTGTCGGCCCAACGCTGGCCAGGCTGAGGCAGGAAAGACCCGTGTGGGACAAGGCTGGGTTTGGCTGCCCAGCCAGCCAGGGCAGCACAGGGCCATGCTCAGCAGAAGCTCCCCAGCTCCAGACACTTCACCCAGAGTGATCTGGGCTCCCACTAACCATGGGCAGAGAAAACCTGCCAGGAAAGCGCTACTGCTCTTATCTGTCCTCCCCGACATCCACCTTCTTGTGGTGGTTTGTTCCTCTACAAGCCGCTAGGAAAGGCTGGATATGGTATCAACAAGAAAATCACAAACTGGAGCAGGTGGAACACTGGGTTGCTGTGTCCCACAGAGCTTCCCACACCTCCTGCCGTTCCTTACGTGATCGAGATGTTTCCACTCGTCAGCCCACTCTCTCTCTGTGAGGCGGTGGTCCACCAGCTCATCCTGGTATCCCCCGTTCAAACCTGCAACAAACCACAGCCAGGGGCACGATTCGATGGACTGAGCTTCCAGTGCCGGTGGGGGAAGGTGGCCCCGAAGCGGTAACAAAGAGCTGCATTTCCAGCTACATAGAGCTGGGATTTTAAAACACAGCTGAAGGAGGTGGGTCTACAGGGGCAATTCCACCACAGTGCTTTCATCCCTGTCGGTGCCTCATCTCAAAAGTGCTACAACCCACTCACAGGTCTGGATCTGACCTGCTGAGGAGCCAGCTCCCTCATTAAAATCCCACAGGAGCTCAGAGCTTGTGATTCAGGCTGCTCTGCTGGAAACACAGCGTGTGCCTCCCACAACCCCCCAGGGAGAAACAGGGCCGGGGGTCAGCTCTGCTCTCCAGCTTTAGTGATCTTGGAAAAGTTACTTCTTATTTCCCCTGCCCTCCACTCTTGCCTGCCAGGTTGGCTACACTCAACTCACACACCAGCTCCTTCCTCCTCACCCTCATCGTCTCCAGCCTTTACAAGTACACAGGGAAATACAAACTCTCAATCTTCCCACTTAACGTCCCACGATCAGTTGTTTTCTCCAAATTCCCTGCAAAAACTCAGCTGAGGACATGCCCAGCATTACACAGCTTTGGGTGCGAGTGGCCAAGCAGGGACTGATGCCAAAGCTCAACTGCTGGACCTCACAGCTCCTATGACTAAAAGCCCTCCTGGCTTTCTTACCAAGACCACTGTGCCTGTCCCGAATCTCTCTGTGCTCCAACATCTTGCTAGGGTCCCTGTAGAGGTGGGAGGTCGCAATATCTTCCAAGGTGTAGTGCTGAAGGGGCGGCGGGGTGGGGTGGAACTGCCCCCCGGGGTTCATCAGGGGGATTGTCAGGGCAGGGCTGTGTCGGGGCGCGGGGCTGATGGTGCACACCCTCTTGGCCGGAGGCTCTGTCGGCAGCGGCTCCCTCTCAAAGCTGTTGTCTTCCCTTCTGCAACCACACCAGCAGAGAGAGGTGTTCGTTAGCACCACATAAATGTACTCAGGAAGGGAAAGATGCAGACTGACAATCAGCAGAGCTTGGGCAGCGATGTTTTTACCAGGGGGTAAAGGCAGGGAGCTAAAACAAACATGCTCAAACTTGTGAACAAATCCACAAAATGACCCTGTCAAAGAGAAAGTTCAAGATGTCCAAGTGCTGTGATTCATCTTTCTGAGCATGACCAAATTAAAATTTCACAGTTTTTATAAATTTGAAGCATGCTCCACATAATTACGTAACAACTTTTAACTTGGAATAAGAAGTGGTGAAAATGAACTGCATGCTTCTCAGCCCTGACAGTGCCTCCGCTCGCCGCCCCGGGAGGCAGAGAACTGCTCAGCTCTCCAGCTCAGGCTTTTTAGAGCTACCCAGCAAGTCCTCCTGGGACAGAGCCTGCCTGAAAGAGGATCCCAACCTGAATTCACAGTGTATGAGGAGCAAACATTGGTGTTTTATTAACAGCCACAGAAGTCTCTGGGAGTGACAAGATCCTACTGTTTAGCCCTGGATGCTGCCTGAAGCTTCGACAGCAAAGTTGAAAGAGAAGTCACAACTTTGAGAACCTCGCAGAGCAATGGAAGCTGTTTTTACCTGTCTGGACTGTGCCTCTTCCCATTCCCGTTCACCTCGATCAGGAGCTCGGAGGAGTCAGCGGGGGATGTGGTGTTTGTGTTCAGCAGGATGTGCTCGTGCTGTGCCAGGTACTGGGAGGGCGTCTGCTTGGCAGCCCGGGCGCAGTGCAGCAGCTCTCTCTGCAGCAGCGGGAGGTTGGCCTGGAAAAGAAGCGTGGGTCTGGTTTATGCAGGCGGCAGGCAGGCCTTTCCAGCTGTTCGCAGAAGGTCTGCTCTGCACACCTAATCCCTCAGAGCAGTAACACCTAGAGCCTGTGGCCTCCGCTCAGGATCCTCCAGCTCCCAGTGTCTGCAAGGTCAGATTTACCTGTATTTTCTCAAGAGCTGAGGATGACCTGACGTCAGTGCCCCCAAAAATCAAGTGTCATGGGAGGGGCTTGGTGTTTCCAGCATCTAACCACCCCAGACATGCCCTGTACACCAACACTTCAAGTATTCTAGATCTGAACATTTGCAAATAAGATAATAAGATCAGAAGCTGCTGAATGGAACTTGGTTTGTCTCCTTTATCCCTAACATACAAGCAGACATATGTGGCATTCGTTATAACGTTAGCTTTCCACAAGCCAGTCCCACATGGCCACTGCTACGGTCTGTGCAGTCTGTCTTGGACTTTAACAGGATTGCCATGGTGCTGGAAATGAGAGCTTTCCCAGCAAGGACACACTGCCAAGTGGCAGACTGGCACACAGAGCGCCGGCAAGCCCCACCAGCTCCCTGTCACCTTCAGAAAGGGGATCACAAATGGCCGGAGGGGGAAGTTCGTTGCCTCTTGCAGCTTGCAGTGAAATTCCTCGATTGTCACCGTTGAGTTCTGAGAAAAGAAATTAAAAAATGAAATGACAATTTGTTCTTACTTTTAGACACATGGGAAACAGCTCCAAATGAACAGAACTGGAAGGGAGACTGCATCTGCCACTACAGGACTGACAACGTTTGCATCAGACCCTGCCTAACACAGCCAAAAAGACTCAGGCCAATGGAGTAGAAATGCTGCACTAGGCGAGGGGTGAACGCTGTGCACAGCCAGCGCTGCCCAGCCCAACATCCTCCCAGCTCTGGGGCTGGGAGGCAGGGATGGGCTCCCGGCAGGCAGCAGGACCCAGCTGGCATCTCCTGCACCCTGGCCAGGGGCAGGCTGCCGGGAGCCATACAGCGATTCCAGATGCTCAAGGCTGCAGGCCGTCCTCCCTCTCAGCTCATCTCACCTAATCCATCCACAAGGTCAGCATCAGCCTGCTGCTCACCCCACTCGCACGATCCCCCCTGGCCTGACCTGCATCCCTGTGGCTGTGCAGGCTGGGTGCTCCCCGGGACAGCAGCATTTGATAACCTGTACGTACAAAGTTCACCCCTGCGGCAATTACCATGATCAGTGGTGAGGACAACAGGCAGAGGAACCTGGACAGCTTATCATTTCCCTTCCAAAGGGTAAGCTGAGGTACTACCCTACACCCATGGAAATGTATACGCCTGCCTTCAGCAGCAGCAGCAGCATTTTGCATCCAGTGCTCGAGCACCGTGAAAGCCCCCGAGGCCATGGACAGACCCACATTCGCTCTGCCTGTGCCAACCTTAGAAGCAGAACTACTCCAGGCTGCCTGCGGTCTGGCTACCTTTGCTGTGTGCTGAGCCTCAAAAGAAACCTGCCAAAAGCCAGAGATCAGCTTAGAGCAGCGCTGGGAGCTGCACTGGACCCCAGCCAGGCAGGCGGCTGGTGCTGTGCTCCAGGGTCTCGGTCCAGAGTATGGGCTCGCACAGCATTTCTACCAGTCAGTTTCTATACCTGCAAATATTAAGTCACAATTCCACAGCAAGACCTGCTCCTTTGTTTTTTGAAGGGTGTTTTCAGCTGTCTGTAGCTACAGAAGGGCATGATGCACTTTTTATGCACCCATACACTGCCACCGACCCCAGCTCTCACAAATCCAAGGGTAGGACTGCACAAGAAGGGCAGACGATGCCTACAGGTTATTTACCAAGCCTCTTCCTGTAGCTACACCTTCAGACTGTCACAACCAAAGAATCAATGCCTTTGGTACTGCAGGCAAATATGCAATCAGCAAAGCAGCAGCACACCAGAAGCCTGGACCTCCTTTTCTGCAACAGCAGCCTTCCATCCTCTGCAGACCTTGGTAACAGTCAGCCTTGCTGTGCTGGTGGGCTTGTTTAAGACATGCAGGAGCAGCCCATCAAGGAAAAAAAACCCAATAAATACATCACTGCCTATCATAAATTAAATCTTTGCAGTGTCCAGATATTCTCTGCACACTCAAGAGCAGAGAAGCACTACCAGCTTTTCAGAGCAAGTCCCTGCTAGTGCCAGGACTCAGCTCCCGAGCAGCACCCCTGCTTTTCCATGACACCTGGCTGCCTTCCAGAGCAAAGCAGGTTTGAGCACCCTGAAGTCAGGGCAGCACTAATGAAACAGTGGCTGGAACTGGCATTTCTTTGTATGGAGGCAGATCAGAGGCAAAGTGATCCATGGTCAGGGTCAGGCATGAGAAAGAAAACACTTTCCTTAGTATAAAACTACAGGCTCCTCTGAATTGTGTGAAAAGTTTCATTCATGAGGGGAAATGGAGAAACCCAGCATAGCTCATGCCTTCCAGCAAGCCCATGGCACCAGACGTGTGGCCTTTATAGAAAAGCTTAGACCAAATCCTTCCAAGTTTTCCTAAGTTCAGCTGCACCCAAGCTCATGCCAAAGCCACTGGACAGCTTTTTGAAACCCACCAAAGACAAGAAAAAAAGAAGTCAGCAAGTCTACTAGAAAGCATAAACATTACAGAGTCTTGCTCAGTCAACAGCTCTGCTCGTAAAGACACCAACAGATAATGTTGTGTAACAGGCAGGCGCTGGCTGCCAGGATCCCATCGCCACAGGGCTCTGGCAGAAGCAAGGCAGCCTGGGCCAGCACGAGGGGCTTACCACTAGTGCCAGGACGAGGGTCCGGACCTTCTCCCCAATCTCTGGTGAAATGTCGTTGCCGAACTGCTGCAGAGTAGTGAGGAAGCGCTTCAGCTTGCTGAGCTGCCGGGCGCCACATGTGGCTGGAAGCTGCTGGTTCGTCAGTGAGGAGGAGGAGGAGGAGGAAGGACCGTTGCTAAATCTCTGGGGTGGGGATGGTGCCCCGTTCAGTGTCGGGGGGGAATGGTTTATTCCGTTGGGCACTGCAAATGGGAGACAGAAGCATTACCGAGCATCAGACATGCACGTCCCTGTGGTCTGGTGTTTACGAGGATCCATCTTCCACCCAAGAACCTGCTGCTGCTGGTTAATCACTGCTAGCAAACTGGGCAAGAAAAGGGCCATGGCCAGAGCAGAGCCTGCATGCTATGCCGGAGGGCACCCAGATGGTCACAGGCGACGTGTGTGCCTTCTCGTCCACCTTCCCTGAGCTCATGGGGACGCTCTGCAGCTGCCAGCGCATAAGAACCATGCGCCCAGCCAAGGCATCCACAGGAGTTTTCCTTACAGGATTGCTCAGGTGTGATTTATAGCACTGCCAGTGATTTCCTTGGCATTTCTCTCCTCCGCCAGCTCCATGCGCACGGCCAAACACTGCAGAATTGGGGCTCAGCAGAGCAGGCACACCTCCATCCACGAGGACACGGGGTCAGCTGCATAAAGCCGATGCTGTGGCAGACGGAGCTGTGTCATATGCTCAGCCCGATGAATTAAACGTGCTTTAGCTCAAAGTTTACAGCCCTCGGCAAGAATCACTGAGCAGCGTTTTCTGGTCTGAGTCAGGCTGAAAATTACACCAGATGATCCAAGGGTCCTTCCCAGCCCCATTGTTTACAACGTCACCAGTGCTCCCTACAGCCGGGGCCCCACTGCCAGGATAGTGCAGCTCAGGTGCCTCCACCTCACCCCGAGGAAGGCTGTTGGCATCCCGCCCCCTGCTGCACCTCCCTGGGGATCTACAGGAAGTTTTGCAAACACGTTGTTTTTTCCAACCTGGTCCCATCTGTAACTTTGCCTCCTGTAAGCAGCAAGCATGTCGAAACAGACTGAAGGGCTGGAAGTTTGGGAACTCGGCAAGGGATTAGAATAAATTGTTGACATCCCTGCGCCACCATTGTGCAATCTAGAGCCCTGTCTGAAGAGCAGCTGTGTGCTTGGGGCCTCCAGTCAGTATAAACTCAGAATTTTAGAGGTGAAAAGTACATCACTGTAAATATAGTTTTAGCTGATCCACTGGGTTATCCTTAAAAGCCCAGCCCTGAATTCTTTATGGATGCAAGCACAGAAGAGAAAGCGACAAGCTATAAAAAACACTTCAAATGACAGCGTTCAGAGCAGAAGCACTGAAGCCACTCGGCAGAGCTGCCCCTTACATGCAGGGCAGGGGAAGGTGTGTGCCATGATGGAGCAGCAGCTTGCAAAAAAAGATGCCAAAATTTCCGCTGCAGCTTCGCGAGGATCATACCAAATGATCACGACCCCAGTGAGGGTTTTTTGGAGAAGGTGGCAGGAGGTACTTGAACGGTTAAACCGCTCTGGAGCACACTGGGGTCAGAGGCTGGAAAGGCTCCACACACCTGGACCTGCCATGGTGAGCATGGGAGGGAACTCAAGAAGACTAACAAGAATCAGTTAAGATGCAAGGGAAAGATAAGGCTAGAGAGACCATCAAAGGTGGTTCCTGCTAACAGGGTCTTCTGCAGCATAACAAATACAGAGAGATGATGAAATGAAGGCAAAGGACAGGACTCAGAGGATGAAGGTGCAAAGAGAAAGTGAGCTTATGCCTCTTGTTATGGAGCAATGCAACCTGAAAAACTCCTGTCCATGCCAGCTTCCCCAGAGCAGCAAAGGACCAGAAATGTCCTGCAGACAACACATACTTGCAGGGTTAGCAACATGGAATACCAGCAAACGCAGAGCTACGTGAAAGGTAAGGCTGCTGGCAATTACTCATGAAGAACATTTATTACATGATGAAAGTGTTTATAAATAGGAAGGAAAGCCACCCAGAGAAGCCCCTCTCAGAGGACTGCACAACTCTGCACTCTCTAGCAGCCACAACCGAGGTGCTTTACCCTCTTCTCTATTTCAGTTCCTCTTATTCTTTCAAATGAAAGACTAGGGAGAGAAACAAGCTCTATTTATACTCCAGGAGAAGTAGGGGCTGTGCAACCCAGCTGGGGGGCTGCAGGGGACCCTCGGGGGAGGCTGCCAAGGATGGGAGTGACAGATGTTGATGGACTCAGGTGATGCCACGGAAGCAGAGCGAGTTGGGTTGGCTCCAGGCTGCTGTTAGATGCAGCCCCCGTAACCGCTCTCTGTGTTTGTAGGTTTAATCTGACCCCTCCTGCAAACGGTGTTACCGCAGGGTGGCTGGCGGTTATCTGCTCCTGCACGTCGCCAGGATCTGCTCCGCCACAGACCACAGAGCCAGGCTGGGACCTCTATTTCCCGGTGAGAAGGTACTCATGAAGCAAGCTGAGGTGGCTTACAGAGACCGGTGGGATTACAGCTGTGAGGAAAGGAGGATGCTAAATTCCTGGGAACATAAAAGCCATCATCTAGGGCTGCTCTGTTAAATTCTGCCTTAGGTCTTCAGTACTCAAAGGCTTTGTTGCTTCTCCAACTCTTTTGTTACTGATCCACAGGCAGGCATGGCCTTCCTCCAGCATGCTCCTCCTCGCCTGTCCAAGCCATGAGATTTCACAGGGCAGAGGACACACCCACTGACTCTGACAAAGACCCTTCAGTGCAACGGACAAGTAAAAAGCAAGAATAAACTTCACCACAGGCTGTATCTCTCATCTCTCTTGGAAAGAAGCAATCAAGTCATCTGCAATCAGCAGATTCAAGCTCCTTGGCCCTTAACAGTGTGCCGAACAACCTCATTTGAAAAATTAATTTCTGTCACTTTGCTAATGATCATCTTCTGCGTGAGCAAAAGGAGAGCCATTAAAAACCCCTCAGCGCATAAAGCTGGGGACAACGTGTCTGGCGGGATAACCCAGCGATTAGTGCTATTGCCAGCATCATGCAATACATCAGTGTGTGTCCTGAAAGAGGCTGGATTGTAAATCTCCAAAATCCATTGCCAGTGTGAAACTGTGAGATATCCCAGACACCATTGTGGACAGCAAAGCAATGCGGAACCAGCCAGGAAGATGCTCAGCGCAGGAAAAAAGGGGTGAGGAGGGCTTGGAAAATATGTACATGCCACGTGTGGGGGTCAGATAACTCTGTGCCCAACAAAGTAAAGCAGCTTTGCTCCAGAATGATGCTTTTAAAAAGACATTAAATGGCATAAATATCAGCTAAGGGACAAAAAAAAAAAATCTGTACTCTTTATAGACTGTGAGAAAAGGCTGTACACGTCCACTCCGTCCACAGAGTCACCTCCGTGCAACACCCTGCTAGAAGCAAGGCTGGGCAGGGCCAGGATCTACTGCAGCTTAATAGCAAAGATTATAAAGTGAAGATGGAGAAAAGAGAAGCTGGATGGACAGCAAGGAATTTCCAAGGCTGAGAAATTAAAAAAAAGGAAAACTTTCTAATCTCCACTACAGAAACGCTGTCTGCGAAGTGAGATACAGCAGAGAGGGAATTAACTCCTCCAAAAGATACAGTGAAATGCCTGGCTCTTGGCTTGTTTGAAGCTGACCTGATAAAAGACTTCAATTTCTTATGGAGTCTGGCAGAAATCAAGGCTGCACCTGCAAGAAGGACTCAAGGCAGCACTAGGAGTAAGGCAGGAGCAGGTGGGGTTTGGGGAGACGACAGACCCCTTTATACATCCTGCAGAGGCAGCAGAACAGGAGAGAAGCCCCAGCCACCCCTTCCTTACAGCCCTGCAGCGTGGCTAACGCTTGCCGTGCTGGTGAGCAGCCCTGGCCGACGGCTGAGACATCCCCGGTGACTTCTATAAGCAGAAGTTTTCCTCCTGGCTAGAGCTGGTCCCAGGGAAAAGCATGTTACTGGGGTCTTACGTGCAGTCGGGGTGAAGGACACGGGCCGGGGTCCGCCAGGGTTCACAGGGGGCAGCGGTGGCATGTTGGGAGGAGAGGACCTGGACTGTATCTTCACTTCCACGGGCGATCCGGGCATCACTGGCACCCTCTTCTCACCAGCAACTGTGTGAAGAGAAGGTGGTAACGCTTAGTGACAGTCACAGACAAGCATCTCCCCACCCAGCATGTGAAGTACAGTTGCAAGGGCAAAGATGGGAAGGGGTGAAGGAGAAAAATCACAGGATGCTCCCACACTGCTGTGCATGGCCTTGGCGGGCAGCGGGTGTCCTGGGGTGCTGCCGGGCAGGCTCAGGATGCCTGTGTTCACCATCTCAGACTCTCAAATGCATCTTTTCACCCCTTGTGCCCAAAGATGCTTCCTCAAAATATTTCTGCCCACTTGCTTTGCTTTTCTCCCCCATAAGACCCCCTTGGCCCATGCTGGTGTGCACGGGGCAGGACTGCTGAGTGAGGGGTGCCGAGGTTCCACTGCCAGCCCTGCTCTCCAATGAGAAAAAACACATTCCAAAGCAGCCACTTCGGCAAACAGCTCTCTGACCAGCTTTTCACGTTTGCTTTTTAAAAAAAATTCACAAATTAGATGTTCCTACACCTCCTCTCTTGCACCAGGGCGTTCCTTGCTGCCAGCACAGCCTCCCCATGGCTGCACACACCCCGCACCCACTTGGCTTCTCTGGAGGAACTGCCAGGCTGCAGCCATGCAATGGTCAGCTCGGTTTTTGGGTGGGTGCTGGCCCGCTGTGCAGGGCCCATCAGTGCAACATTGACAGCAGCTGTGTCAGAAGTGACTGAAATGCTCATGGCATTGTAAAAACAAGCCCATATCAGCTAGTCATACCCTCTCTCCGGCATGGAGACTCTGATGCCTAATACAGCACCAGTTCATGCCACAGTTTCTTTTTCAGCCTCTGAGGGTCCCTCCTGAGGACCCAAGCTCTGGCGGTATGTCCCAGCCCAGCTGACCCATTTGGTCACGCTCCTGGCTCCAGCATGGCTTAAATCAGCCTCAGAAGCTTCCTTGGGGAGAAAGGAGAGAAAAGGAGGAAATGTGTGCTTATGCAAGCCTTAGGGGAGGTGTTGGGATTT